CTCCCTCCCTCCCTCCCTCCCTCCACCATCTCTCAAAAAGTAGATGGCAATGTTGGGCAAACATGATAGACAATATGTGGCCTATACACATAACAGAAGAAGAGCAGTGTGTAATACAGAGAAATGAGGTTTAAATACTGACTGCAACATAGATGAACTCCAAACAACACATCAGTGAAAAAAGTCTGATCTAAAGGGACAAAACTGCAGGATTCTGCTTATGTATGGTCCCTGAAGTAGAAAAACACAGGGATAGAAGAAGAGTAGAGGTTGGCAGAGGTAGGGCAATGGGGTAGGGAGTGACTGCCCCTGATTGGGGGGACTCTTTGCAAAGAATGGACCTTTGCTATAACCTCATGTAAGCATGACTGCACACTTTTTAAATATATGCTGTGTGCTAAGTGGATGAACTGCACAGCTCAATTAACATAATTTCTCTTGATATCTATTGGTTTCCATCCCTTCTGCTCCCAAAGCAGGTACCTCACTCAGTTCTTGGCCTGGGCTTTACAAACAGGCAGTATCTATTGTCCCCTCCATGCTCACCAGGCCAGGCCAGGGTCTTGGCACTTCCCAAGATGAAATTTCAGCAGATAAACCTTTCAGAAACATGGAGTTAGTGCAGAATACTGCAGGACATTAATGCTTATAGGAGCCCTCCTGGCATTTGGCAAAGCACCCACTGTTCTTGAAGTCTGCCTTATATACAGGAGGGTATTTAGAGGCACCCAGAGACTGCCCATCAGATGCCTTAGCACCTCAAAGATGTGACAACCACAAGTATTTGTAGGCCTTGCCAAGATTCCATTGAAGGGCACAATGTCCTTCATGAGTGCCATACTCCTAAGAAGCATCATAGTACAAAGGCCAAAGTCCTAGTATTCTGTCCTATCTGAAACCAAGTGAAAACTAACTTCCCATTTACTTTTATTCATCCATACATTCAGTCACTCACTCATTCATTTATTTATTTTGAATAATAAATTTTTACTCAAAAGAAGGGCCATAATTTGTGTAATTTAAAGAACAAGGATTTTTTTCGAAACTTAGTATTTCTTTTCCTATAATATCTGACAAGCTATTTTTAATTGAAAATGGATTCCTTTCTTACACCATATATCCCTGATTATATTTCCCCTCCCCCTCCCTCTACTCCTGTCAGTTCCTCCCCTCTGAATCCATTCCCTTTCTGTCTCTTATTAGAAAAGAACAGACTTCTGAGAGGTAACAAAGCATAACAAAATAAAATATAATAAGATGAAGCAAAAACTATAATATTGAAGTTGAACACGACAACCCAACAGGAGGTTGGCACAAGAATCAGAGACCCATTCATTCTCATAGTCAGGGGTCCCATAAAAATACTAAGTTGAAACCTGTATCACATATGCAGAGGAGCTGGTACAGACCCATGTAGACCTTTGCTTGCAGCTTCAGTCTCTATGAGTTCATATGCAACTTGCTTAGTTGATTCAGAGGACCATGTTCTCCTGGTGTCCTCCATCACCTCTGACTCTTAGAATCTCTGCAGGATTCCATGAGCTCTGTCACTCACACATGTTTAAGTATCTCCAATAACCCTGACCAGCCTCACTCTGAGGCTGGCTTTGAATTACTGTTCCTCTGCCTCCACCTCCTCAAGAGCTGGAACTAAGACATATGGCACCAAGCCCAGGCTTCTGTTCCTTTTTATTCAAGAAACACAATAAATCATCCACATACAGACCATAAGAAGAGAATGTACAGATAGACAAGGAAATTGGATTCACTCAGATGAACTTTGGAGAAGGTAAAATGAAATTACTTATGAACAAATACAGCATGTAAAAAAGATTTTTTTAACCATTTAGCTCAGTTATGGGCAATTTGTAGATACCTGGATGTTGTCACTGTTCATGTTTCTTAATTTCTCAATAGTGGCAACAGCTATAACAACACCAACACTTAATCAGATAAGGTAAGGGACTTGAAAGATGGGTCAGTGGTTAATAGCACACTACTGCAAAGGACCAATGTTGAATTCCCAGAACCCACATGAGGTGGCTCACAACCATTTGCAACCCTCTTTTGTCCTCCACAGGTAGCAGCATACACATGCACATAACCACACAAAGGTGACACATATATATATATATAGTATATATTTGTTTTTAATGATAGGGTTCGGGAGAGCAGAAGGATGTAAGTATGGTGTAGGCACACATGTAGAGTTATGTGTACATAAAGACCAGAGAAGGATTCCAGGAGGATTTGAGTGTGGTGAATACACACATGTGGAGCCATGTGTACATAATGACCAGAGAATGATGCCAGGTGACTTATTCTCTACTTCATTCCCTTGAGACAGAATCTCTCTGTGAACCTAGAGCTAGGATAGCAGCCAGCAAGAACCAAAATCCTCCTGTCTCTAACTTCCACAGCACCAGGGTACAGGCATGCACAACCATGCTTAGCTTTTTATATGAGTGCTAGAATCAAAACTCAGTTTTCATGTTTGTACATTAACCTAGCATAATTACCCATCTTCTCAGACCCTGGGGAAGGTGTTTACAGTTTTAAATGAAATTTTCAATATTTATTTTGTGGGGGAGGAGGGAGTATGCATGTGTGGATGAAAGAACAACTTTCAGGAGTAGGTTCTCTCCTTCCACCATGTGGGTCCCAGAAAACAAGTCTTCCTTTGGGTTTGGCAATAGGCGCCTTTACCCAGTAAGCCATCTCTCTGGAGCCTAGACAGACCCTAAGGGCTCTTAGCACACATCAAAACTACAAACATGGCTGAGGAGATTCTAGCCCAGTTGGTAAAGTTCTTGCCTTGTAAGCATGAGGACCTAAGTCCCATCCCCAGTGTCCACTTGGAAAGCCCCAAGCCAGTGAGACCCTGTCATTTCTGGGCAAAGTTTATACTCTCGCCTCAAAATGCACATGCAAATGTGTAACTGAACACACACACTCATGTACACATACATCTCAAATTTTAAAAAGAAGGAAACAAAACAGGAACATATGGCTCACGAACCTTCTCAAAACATTTTCTAACGATACATACCTCATCTCCTTCAAGTGTTACCTTCCCTTCCTAGTCCTTTTCTCCATCAAGGTGGAGAACACTCCAAATCCAATGTGAAAGAGAAACTTCTGTGCCTGTCGCATGCTCAAATGAGCAGGCTATTGTGCTGGGGAATCACCTACCTATTAAACAGCAGATAACTCATACCATTCACTATAGCTCTTTGCTATTGTACAGTATGCCCGGTGAAACAAAGAGTTTCCTCAGCATTGACACACAAAGACTCCTGATACAGAGTGTGCAGACCTGGGACTCCCCAGACACAAACGCTGGCCTTGTGCATTGTAAAAGAAAAAGTCACCTGCATCTCAGTCATTGCTTCCTGATCGTGTCCCCCTTAGGACTCCTAAGGAGAAAATAGAGAGGCTTTGGAATCCCTTCCTTGTCTGTAGAAACAATGTGTGGTACCAACAAACTGACTCTGTCCTGATAAAAAAGTCAGCATTCAGAGAAAAACATTTGACTAAAATGTTATGGCTTGCTATCCAGTCAACATTCTATTAGTAAAAAAAGGTCAAATTTGCCAGGTGGTGGTGGTGGTATACATCTTTAATCCCAGCACTCAGGAGGCACAGGCAGGTGGATCTCTGTGAGCTCAAGGCCAGCCTGGTCTACAGATTGAGTTCCAGGATAGCCAAGACTGTTACACAGAGAAACCCTGTCTCAAAACAAAACAAAAAGTCAAATTCTTGATTTTGAAAGAAAATATCTACACCTGTAAGCAACACATATTGCCACTAGCTTTGCTTCAAGGAACTGCACAGTCAATAACGTCCACATCTCCTGGGAACTTGTGTTTTTTCCCAGAAAGCTTATTTTCTGAATGATTTCAATTTAAATTCTCACATAACCATCTTACTACCTGGCTGACATATTTGTCATATGCTACTTTGCAGTTTCTGCCAAGCAGTACATGAACGGGCTTCATTTCTAAGCATTGTGGTTTCTTCTAGTATGATAATTATTATCAGTGCTGTCTGTTTGGCAAGATGTCCTGCCTTCGTCAGTGGGAGAAACACTACAATAATGTGCAGTATCTCAAAGAAACGGAAGACTCAGTCTGACAATGCCAGCAGCATTCTCCCTGCCAAGGCCAACCCTGTCTTCTGCCACAGGAGTCCCAGTTGTACTAGTGCACAGGGAGTCACTTGTTTTATTACAGTGCCTAGTTCTACATGGCATTTAACAAAGCACTGTTTTAGTCCTCTGTGGATCTATGCTTCCTCTGTCTGTGCCAGCTTGGCACAATTGGGAATGTCAATCTCAACACCTAGACCTGCATGCATTACTAATGACCACATCTACAACTTGTGTCTCTCCAGAGGCCAAAGCCTCCTCCGGGGGTCTGTGAACAGCAGGGGATGGGGATTACCAGTAGGAATTTCAAAACTTCTCTTTTAGAATTTATCAAGTCAAAGTCTTTGTCATGACCCAATTAATTGTCTAGTCAGATGTTGCCCAGACTGGTATACCAAATTGACTTTCCAGTTGTTCTCTAAGTAAAGTCTGTTAAAGAAACTGACAAGGGCACACAGGTGCAGCTCAGCCATCCCTATTTACATAGCCAAGGTAACCCAAGGCTTGGGCTTTCTAAATTAAAAAGCAAATTGCAAAGGCAGGGCTTAGGGGGTTGTTCTAGCCT